GAGACAAGGCATTGGGCAAATTGGATTCCTGACAAATGTTTACCAAAATGACCCATCATTGTTGAAATGCTGCACTCAGTTAATACAGTATATAATGGCTAGGGTGTTATCGTCATTTAAGCTACTTTGAGTAGTATCTCATTTATATCACCATGTGTCAGCTTAATGTCGGGAGAAAGCCTAAAGTGAAAAAGGACGTATTTTGCCACTACGGTGAATCGAGTATAGAACTGACAGATCAAATGTCACCCATTGAAATTTATCAATATCGTCATAAGAGTTTTCACTGCAGGGCCTGCAAAACTGCAATAATACATTCTAGAATGTTGTTCAGTGTTCTACACTACTCAGGGAATTTGCGATTGAATCCTTTGCATATTTCGGCATACATATCAAGGCAATCCCTTGCCACTAAACTTGTTTCCACTACGTGTGGAAGTATTGCCCAAAACGCTAAGAACTTATGATTGATTGATTGTTTGTTGTTTAACGCCGCACTCAGCAATATTCCAGCTATATGACGGTGGTCTGTAAATAATCGAGTCTGGACCAGACAATCCAGTGATTGATATCATGAGCATCGATCCACGCAATTGGGATCGATGACATGCCTCAACCAAGTCAGCGAGCCTGACCATCCGATCCCGTTAGTCACCTTTTACGACAAGCATAGTCGCCTTTTGCGGCAAGCATGGGTTGCTGAAGACCTATTCTACCCCTGATCTTCACGGGTCAAGAACTTATGAAGTATAGGGGTGAGATATACGCATCTCATAATAAGAATGTTTAAGCATGTGTGTTGTTTCCTTGAAACATAAATAAATCATAAATTGAAACGGCGCTGAAACATAAAATTTCAGAGACGAATTATAAATTATTTTCAAAGTCGCATCTTTTTGCGAAGTTTAATATTGTGTCGGTGATATGTTAAGAAAGCTTCAATCATTAGCGCGGCCGTCATATTAGAAACTGTCGTCAACAATGGCCACAAAGAACGATGAACAGCACTGAAAGGCTTCTCAAATCATCCACTCCTTAAATCTCTTCACTAACGAACAGAAAGCTATAAGAAATTAATTCCAACACTCGATGACGTATGCACAAGTTACCGCATACGTAGGCCTGTACGCCTGTGTATCTTCCACACCCTATACATTAAAAGTTTGCAGTCATTGAATTCGCAGGCCTGTTGAAATAGTTCGTCATGGTTGAATATTCCTTTTGTAGTCACGTCTTCGCTGATACATATGTTCAGTCGGTGATCGTGCGTCTCCATTGACCAGAAATGTTCATAATGAATAATTCCAGAAAACAGTGATGTTTTTATGTTGATGTTTGGAGTGAGTGAGTTGGATTTAACCCCGCTTTTAACACTATTCCAGTTACATCACGGCGTGTCAGCTTAATGTGGGAGGGAAGCCCGAAGTGATGCAGGTCTGAGACGTTTACCACTTCTGTGAAACCCACGGGCACGAGTATGGTGCTGACAAACCTAGAAACATAATCGGGGTGAACCGGGATTCGAACCCACAATCATAAGTTTCTGGCGTGCCCAAGGGACGCAACTCTGCACAGCGAATTAAGTGATAAGAGAGATAAATAAACGATGCAGGAACATATGTCTTTTGTTTAAATTTAGCGCACCCTTGTTCACAGTAAAATGGGTTAATCCACATGCCTACTTTGTCTGACCAGGGCCCCGTTCTTCAAAGCGATCTTAGCGCTAAGGTGATCGTAAGTCCCATACTTAAACATAGGCTTACGATCATCGTAGCGCTAAGATTGCTTTGAGGAACGGGGCACAGCAAAGTCCCTCATCCCTGATTATCCCTGGGTTGTCTAACAGCTACTGTTTACTTGTTTTTAGAAATTAGACGAAGCGGGTTGATGAATAAATTAGATCCCTCCAAGCTGGGATCTAACTTTTAAAATTTGACAGTGAGTTAGATCCCTAACCTCGCAGCCCGCAGGGTCTAACTGTCAAATTTTAAAAGTTTGATCCCGGCTTGGAGGGATCTAATTTATTAGCACGTGAAATGTTACTTGCCCATGTTGATGGGCCTATTATGGGCCTATTATGAGCAAATAAAGCCCTCATCAAGATAATAGTAATTTCTTTTCTGTCTGTTCGTTTCGTTGAACGAAAAGCTTCAAAATCACAAGTACTGTACAAATATTAGAATGCATAGAGTAACATACTGTACAAAAATTGCATAATACACATTTCGCTGTTCATAAAGGGATAAGCAATTGGTACTGATGTAAGTAAAGTAAGGCTACATTCGTTAGCCTTCCGTGCGGACTTCGCGGGTTCGAATCCCGCTGGCAACAAACGTTTTTCATGAAATTGTTCTATCATCAAATGATAGGGGAAAAAGAAGTTCCGTCATTGCCAACAGGTGTTTAACTAACAATTCAGTTAGTTAGACCACGGTCAAAGACAAAGGAGCCATGGTTTTAACCCTATTAGTTGCTGCGGTAGGTGCAGGCAATGTTTTTTCACATGTCACAATATCAGGTGACACCGGTGTTTCGTACGCGATAAGCGGTCGTGGTCGTTCATTACAATCGGAACATGTGCAAGTACTGATAAATATATCTACAATACAGTTGAACAAAGTCAGGGTGACAGAGGTGTCGATCTCATCCCAGAATTCTGTTTGACCTAAGACCAAAATGTTCGGATTAATGGATCAGTCTGAAGTGACCGTCCTATTCGGGAAACAGGACACAGGTCTTCTCATTCTTGACCAACTCGTGTTATTCCGGGACAAGCCGAAAAGCGACTCATGCCCCCTCTCGTGGCCATTTTTTGCAACCGGGTTCCGTCTTAGCGCAAACGGGCACACCTAAAACAATTGTCAACTCGTTGCGCAATGGTTCACATATATTTCCCCATATATCATTTATATTTCAGATGCAATTAAAAGCACATCAGGACATGCCTAATTATACAGTATGATTGAACACATTTAACTGTGTCTTGGGTATATTTTTAGATGCAAGACATATGTAAAAATAGAAATTATTTCTGAGGGATTCTTCGACAAAGAACTTGAAATCATACGCGCATTCTGATTGGTTTGTCGTTTTTTCGCACATAACATTCATCGATAGGGGGACGAGTCTTCTTGCAGGTTACGGATAGGGGCGAGCGGTGCCGAATGAGGTCTTCTATTTTTATCACAATGCGTTAGCGGACGAGGATGACGTGTACGGGGAGTTACTTCCCTTAGACTAGAGCCGTGGCATGACTTCTTCAGGTCAATGACGATATTTTATAAGTAGAGATTGTCGCAGAGCATCAATTATTCCCCGTCATACAATGTCATGGGCGGATACAGCTTTTTTTAAAAGGGAGAGGGGGGGGGGGGGGGGGGGGGGGCGGGGGATGTGTGTGTGGGTGTGTGCACAATTAAGATCTATTTAATGTCTTTGGTGGTAATTTATACAGAAATAAAGATTTTTTTCGAAATAAAAGGGGGGGGGGGCGCACCCCCGCGCACCCCCGCGCACCCCTCTGTATCCGCCCATGAATGTCATATGCAGAGGAAGGAAGTGTAAGCAATGGGAATAGAGGATTGGTGTAAAGTTCAAATTGGGCGTTGTTAATGTAGTTATCATTTGGAAAAAAACAGTGTTTTTAAATGGTCAGCACATGGACAACCAAGGGAAAAGAAACACAGAACTAGGCCTGTCAGGCAGAACTTCGTATATACCGACTATCAGTACAAATAATATAAACAATAATTGATTACAAGTCCTATATAAATAACACAAATAAATGTAATGAATCCACTGTAAATAAACTTCAGTCCACATGTAAGAAATATGTTCACGCATTCATTCAGGGATTCCTGTTTATCCATTCCTGTTTATCCAGCAGCAAATTAGGAACATATAGGTTGGTCAAGTCATCTGCAAATATTGCGAATTATCTGACATTTTGTAAAAACAAAGCTCATAAGTCACATTTCTCCAAACTTCGATTAAGTAATCACAAACTAAAAATTGAAACTGGGTGATATATACAAAACACCAACCCCATTGGGGTGGGTGAGTGAGTATGGTTTTACGCCGCTTTTAGCAATATTCCAGCAATATCACGGCGGGGGACACCACTACCTCATTGGAACAACGTCGCTGATGTCCTAGAAGATGAGCAACATTATGTACTGTGTTGTATAAGATCTAGATACAACCAAGAAAGAGAATCACAAATAATCCTGTCATGATCAAGAATAAGGTACGCTCTGTTAAAAGGAAACATTCTTTATAATTTTAACGAAAGTTATCCAGAAGCAATTTCCAAGATGTGTTATCATATCAACAATTATAAACAAATTCCTTGTATGTACAACATTACCATAGTTTTGCTCAATTCTCATATTGTTTCGATATTATTATAATACATTTGTTTTAAAATAAAATTGTTATAATGTACCTCCTTTGAATTTTGAATTTACCTATTGTGAATATATTTATAGTTTTTGATAGTGTAATATTATGTTGTTTGTTTGTTTGTTGTTTATCGCGGCACTCAGCAGTAATGCAGCTATATATGTTCGTTATAACTGTAGTTTTCAGTATTTCGAAATATGCGTTGTGACATAGGGTTGTACAACAATTGCCAAAGTGTGGTTTGTTTGTTTTTTTAAAACGCCGCACTCAGCAATATTCTAGCTATATGACGGCGGTCTGTAAATAATCGAGTCTGGACCAGACAATCCAGTGACTGACACCACGAGCATCGAGCAACGCAGTTGGGATTGATGACATGCATCAACCATGTCAGCGAGCCTATCCACCCAATCCCGATTATCTCCTCTTACAACAATCCTATTCGCCTTCTACGGCAAGCACGGGTTGCTGGAGACCTATTCTAACCCGGATCTTCACGGGTCACCACGGCTTAATCAAACGTATGCATTGTCAGGCATTATCATGGGTAACACTTTTCAACGGGTGACAATGTCACGAAACACCGGTTTCACTATCACTATTCCCGGTGTATTTCACCACGACCACATGACCGTGTGAATTAGTGGGGAGAGGATGTTTTGACGGAGACTTCCACTGAGTGTATTTCCACTTTACAATGTTTTATAAATAAGCGATCACAATCAAAATTCCAACAGATGATCGACAATGAGAAGATCTGCATCTCATCAGGTACGTTAAAGATGTGCTTACTTGTGTGACGAATGACATGTATCGACACTACTTGAAGTCGGTAGTTGCCGGAATATGCACCGACCTATTTTGGAATCGTAATGAGAGAAAAACGGTTTTTCTCAAACAAGTTGTAGTTTCTAGCTGTCTTTTTCAAATGGATAAATTTAAAAGGACATGAGCAGGTATGTTTTTTGGTTGTATTGTGCGCAATTAATAAAGTCCCAAATATATATTATTAAAACAATTGCGATGGACCCGTGAAGATCCGGGGTAGAATAGGTCTTCAGCAACCCATGCTTGCCGTAAAAGGCGTCTATGCTTGTCGTAAGAGGCGACTAACGGGATCGGGTGGTCAGGCTCGCTGATTTGGTTGATACAAGTTATCGATCCTAATATCGTGGAACGATGCTCATGATATCAATCACTGGGTTGTCTGGTCCAGACTCGATTATTTACAGACCGCCGTCATATAGCTGGAATATTGCTGAGTGCAACGTTAAACAACAAACCAACCAACCATCCAATATAAAGGGGAGCTCAAAATGATAAAGAAATAATTAGGAGATAACGCGTTCAGTTTTTAATTAAGATTAGACCTATTATAATTTCCTTATTTAAAAACACAGAATGTTTATCCCCATTCTACCATGACAACTGTATTAACCATTTTAGTTGAGACTCTTTCACAGCTCCGGTGTCAGTACGTGATGAGGCCTTGCATTCCTATCTCAAGTGGTTTCGTCCGCCAAACGAAAATAGTGCATTACCGTAAAATATGTATAGTTGCCCACTGAAAATCAGAGACCTGTATAATGTGATTATATATCTCGGATTGATTTTAATTAACCTTTCAGAATCGAGTATATACTCAAGTCATTGTAGAATGGGTAATGAAATGTGTACACTCACATGTGTGTCATACTGATTTTACGAAACTCGTGTAAGAATTCATGTATCACCCTCGCTCGGTTATGACACACATGCTCGTACAATAATCTCTCTTTATATGAATACAGTAAACTACGGTTATAACGAACTCAAAGGGACTACTATTTTTAGTTCGTTATAACCGTAATTCGTTATAAGCATATATACAGCATAACTACAGCAAATAGTCGGGACTAAAAAGTTAGTTCGTTATATCCGCCAGTTCGTTATAAGCGTGTTCGTTATAACCGTAGTTAACTGTATCAGGTTTCTGAAGATCAAGTTGAAACGACTGTATGAAAACTCCTAACATGATATAATCTGTCGGTATACCAGTGTGTTTCGATGTGGTATTTTAGGTAAGGGTTTTCAAACTATCAATGATTATTACTAAACATCTGCGTTTAACCAGTCACACATTACCGGTCGGTTGTGTCGGGCATGTTATGTACTCACCCCTGCCGAAACATTTCATATAATGAGTTGTTTCTGTTGCGCAGCTGAAATACATTACGTCGCAATTTTACATGACCGTCTATAACACCACAGTCCTGTTTGGTAAGGTAGTTGACATACATCACTGTTTGGTCCAATTTGTGTTTTCATTTTGTTGATAAAGGATCTCAGATGCCCGGAGGAAAATGCATCTGCCCTGTCTCGGTTCTTCTTCCTCTGGGTTGGAAGGTAGGTTTTGGTGTGTTTTCTTGTTTGTTAGTTTAATGACCCACATTGTAAAAAATGTGTTTAGAAAGTAAACACATACAAGGCATATTTAGATCTAAACATGTTTAGAAATGTGTTTGAATCCTAAACGTAATACACATTTGGTGTGTATTTAAACATGTAGGCCTAAACACATGAAATGAGCTATCGTCTCACAGCCTAAACAACACCGTTATCTAAACATGTTTAGAATTTAAACATGTTGAAATACAATTCACATTGATAGGCAATAAGTTAAATATTGATATGATGTATAATATACATTAAAATTAGGTTTGCAAATCGGATTCACAGGCACTAGCATAATACATGTGTCACCAGGACTTCCAACGAACTTGGTACAATATTATCATAAAAATGTACAAATAAATCAAGCTATGCTAATGATGACTAGGACAATTGACATTTGTGACGTCAGCAGTCTCCGTAGCACATGTGATAGCGTGAAGGACTACAAATCACCAGGATGCAGGTTCGTATCCCGCCCAGGTTTAAAAGTTGTGTTCATAAACTGTTGTTGTATGGCAAATAGTATTTATCTCATACAGGAAACTGAAGCTGACAATGGAAGTTTATCTGATAACTATGATAGACCTTCAGTGTCCCCATTAAAGGCTAAAAAAACATAGAAAGCACCTTTTTTAATTACCCACAACGAATTTAAAGGGGGGTGTAGGACATTTAGACTCTAAACGTGTTTAGCTGTCAAACACAACCCTCAGCATGTTTAAACCTAAACCTGTCAAAATAATGGGACAAGGAACGTGTTAAGATTTGTGTTTAGGATCTAACCACATTTATCACAGTGCACCCAGTAATATTCCAGCTATTTCATGGCGGTTTGTGTAAATGTGAAACAAATAAACAAGGTTTAACACTATGAGCATCGATCCGACCAATTTATTTTGAAGTAACAACATCCACCTCCAGAATGTATTGTTTACTTATGTCACTATACCTTCTTTCCCAAAGAAATACTAGAAAAAAAACCTTACCTCATATTTTAACCAAAGCAGTAAAATCAAAACACGCGTGTCCTCAATAGATTTGTAGGTTCTGAAGCTGTAACATAAACTATTCGAATAGACTGACAACTAGGGTGTCTTATGTAGATACGCTTGTGTTATATTTCCATCACAGCTTGATTAAAAAGGCCAACGAAAAGCCCCTGGCGGAACATGACATATGGGATCTGAACGTCAGGGACAAGACGCATACTGTGTCCCCAGTCTTCGACAGTGCGTGGAAGAGGAACTCCCCCAGCAGCTACATCAGGTACAGCCAACGTCCTCCTGTCAACTTGAGATCATGATTATTGACTGGGTCTAAGTATCATTTTAAAATCTGATTCTGACGTATTTGAGCGAGTCTATGTGGCGTTAAACGACCAATGAAACAAACGAAACGATCACCGTCCGCAGCCTGGTGATGCTTCCTTCTCTGTATCAGTGGAAGGTCTTTTTAAGAATCACTAAAGGATCTTTATTTCATACATCGTTTTATCTGGTGGTTTGTTATGCAACCATTTTGTTTGTACTTTCATTCAACCAGTGGGGGCACGGGTGGCCCAGTCGTCTAAGGCGCCGCGATTCGCTGTGCGGTGTTGCGACCCTTGGGCACGCCAGAAACCTATGATTGTGGGTTCGAATTCCGGTTCGCTCCGATTATGTTTCTAGGTTTGTCAGCACCATACCCGTGCTTGTGGGTTTCACCGAAGTGGTTAACGTCTTAGACCTGCATCACTTCGGGCTTTCCTCCCACATTAAGCTGATACGCCGCGATATAACTGGAATACTGTTAAAAGCGCGTTAAACCCAACTCACTCACTCATTCAACCACTCTGTAAGACACTTACTTATTGAAGGGCAAGTAAAGTGAGAAAAAACATGATTGCTATTTTGTTATGTCAACTTTCCAAGATACATTAAGTCAGTTTCCGAGAATGATAAATTCATAATATAAGTAGGAAGTATTTAAATGTCCCAGTGAAAGTGCTGAAATCACACGCTCCGTAAACAGCTTCCAAAACAAACCTGTTTCTTGCATTCATTGTTGAATGTGTGAAACGACCCTCGATTTTGACATTTTGAATAATTATTATAACAATTAACAATCGATAACTGGCATTTTATAACGATCATCCTGTTTGGGTGATAAACATCAGCTGCCCACAGCCTTATTCCACACAATAAATGACTGTCACGGATTTATCCCCCGATGGCATCTTCAGCGTTGTCATAAAGTTGGCATATGTTGCATGGTAATCAATTGGATGAACAGACAGAAAAAAGATTTAATGTATTAAAAACATCCGAGGCAGAAGCAGCAGACTGGGCGTTGGCCCGATCGTCATGATCGTTGAAATTGCGCAATGCGTCAAACACCGGGTACCCGTTTTAACCCCAGTAAGGGGAATCCCCTGAGTGGCGGATTTTCGTTTCGGAACGATTTTGCTTGTCTTTTTTTATCGTCTGTTATACGCTTTTTTGCTTTTTTAAATCTTTTTTGGGTCAAGCATTTGTGAATAAATATGCCCTAAACTATTAAAATCTTCAAACTATTAAAGTTGCTAAGTGACCTTATTTGCCCTTTAAGGCAGCGATTGTTCAAGTGAGTGAGTGAGTTGGGTTTAACGCCGCTTTTAACAGTATTCCAGTTATATCACGGCGTATCAGCTTAATGTGGGAGGAAAGCCCGAAAGTGATGCAGGTCTCGGACCGTTTACCACTTCGGTGAAACCCACGAGCACGGGTATGGTGCTGACAAACCTAGAAACATAATCGGGGCGAACCGGGATTCGAACCCACAATCATAGGTTTCTTGCGTGCCCAAGGGACGCAACTCTGCACAGCGAATCGCGGCGCCTTAGACGACTGGGCCACCCGTGTCCCCCTGTTCAAGTGTTAAATAATATGTTCACAAATGTGCTTCAGAAGTGACTCCAATCACGATGTCAAGTCGACCAAATCTACTCGCACTCCGTCGGGTGCAAGTGTTCGACAAAGAAATATCACAGGGATACCGCAAAGTGAAAGCGATGCCAACAAGGGTACATATACCATTAATTCAAGTCAATCTCAGCCGCCTCCTCTCAACACAAAGCCATCGCAGAGCCATGGAGAAGAAGGACATGGAGAAGAAGGACATGGAGAAGAAGGTCATGGTGGTGCCAGAAGGCCTTCTCTTCTTGCTGCCATCTTGAAGTCATTCTCGCAAGAACTTCTCCTGTCAGTTGGGTTGAAACTGGTGAAGTTTGTTTCCTTGTGGATATCAAGTCCTTTCTTACTTGGGTAGGAAATGTCTCAATCATATGACTCAAACACCTACATTTATTGCAGTGGTGTCTAACTAAAGGTAGTGTGGTGCAATTGATGTTAAATGCATGAAATTTGAAGACAGGAAATCTTGACTATTCACTGTGCATGGGTAGTCTTCCTGATCAGAAGCTTATCCCTAGAACACTGCTGCATAAGGCATGGCATTCGGAGTATCACATGCATTATACTAGTATATTGCGTTTGACTGATACTGACATTCTATCAATTTGAAATAGCATTGCGTGGTAAGGAATGGATGCATGGAAATTTGATTCGAACGTTTAATTTCTCAGACGTGAGTTTACGTGGAGTTTAACGTCGCGTTCAAGATTATTGCACTTATATAGCAACGTGTGTGGGCGTCTGTGTGTGTGGGTGGCTGATTGCTCTAGTCCGGACTGATGTCGATTTTATAGTCCTAGCCCAATGAGATACCATGCCGCAGTTTAACGTGAATACCCAACTAAGACACAGTATACTGATTCCGAGCCGACCAGTCCTTGTTTTACCCAAAGGTTAGGACAGGTTTGAATGTCCTTTAATGCCACGCAAACACTTCGTGTTATTTGTGTATCCAATGACGGTTTATGCTTTGAGTCTGTTATGTGTTTTTGTCATATGGGTTCTTCTGTTTTGAGAAATAACATATTTCCCTATCCATTATATCCAGACTCCTGATAGACGTCACAGCTGACACGCACACTAGCGTCTGGGAGGGCGTTGCCTTGTCCGTCACCATGGTTACAGTCATGATGATAGGGAGTATTATTGATGAACAGTCGTCCTATTTGAGACAGAGGAACAACATGCATATAGAATCAGCTTTAAAAAATGCAATTTTCAGAAAGGTACGTTACATTCTTGCCTCTCGTTTTCATACAAAATTATGAAAAGAAAGCACTAACGGTTTTAACTATGGTGTTCTTTACCGGGTATTAAAATGATGCGGACGTTATTTAAGTTGAGGCCCCGTGAAGATCCGGGGTAGAATAGGTCTTCAGCAACCCATGCTTGCCGTAAAAGGCGACTATGCTTGTCGTAAAAGGCGACTAACGGGATCGGGTGGTCAGGCTCGCTGACTTGGTTGATGCATGTCATCGATCCCAATTGCGTGGATTGATGTTCATGATGTAAATTACTGGATTGTCTGGTCCAGACTCGATCATTTACAGACCGCCGTCATATAGCTGGAATATTGCTGAGTGCGGCGTAAAACAACAAACCAAACCAAAACCAAAATATTTAAGTTGAGAAACATTCCTGATGATCATACTGTACGTTGCTGATACCGAAATCCCCTGTCGTTGATAAGCCCCGACACTGATAAATGATATGTCAGCATCATATCCGTTCTCTTGGCTTTCATGGCCAGCATTTGCATGATTAATTCCCAGCGGCTTCATCTTCCCGAGGCAAGGGCGTTAAATGACTATAAAAGTCCAGATTCCACCCTTGCGTTATTTGGCTGGACTAGCGAGTCGATGCATAGTCCAATCAAAACACTAGATTTAACATGTATTTTAACATGCAGATTTCGGTCGACTGCATGATTTGCAAAGCAGGTGTTACGCCAACTTGACGTCGACAGATATTTTGCAAAACTTTTCGTGATTTTAATGAAGAGGCTCAAGTGATTTAGTGCACTTCGCGAGGTAAGACCAGTTTTATTACAATAAAGATCTTGATTAAGAATCAGATCGTCTTGACTTGGCGCCGCCATTTTGTTTGAAGCAAATGCAAGTGATATGAGAAGTTGAATCTTGTCAATGGGAGGGACATAGAAGGGTATAACTCGTAATAGCCACGGGTGGCGCGACGATCGAGCCTGGAAATTCAAGCCTAGTTCGGCAAGGGTGGAAACTGGTCTTTTTTAGTCAGTTAACTCCCTTGCCTCGGGAAGATGCTACAGTCTATGCCAGTCGTAAGAGGCAACTTAATGGATATCGGTTGGCCAAGCTCGGCGACTTGGTTGATGGTGTGTAATTGTACCCCTACCACGGGGTTCTTTGCTCATCAGTCACTGGATTGTCTGGTCCAGATTCGATTACTAGTATATATATTCAGCTTGAATATTGCTAAGTGGCATTAAACAAACGTATGTAACTGAAATACAGTAAACTACGGTTATAACGAACACGCTTATAACGAACTGACGGATATAACGAACTAACTTTTTAGTCCCGACTATTTGCTGTAGTTGTAACGAACTGAAAATAGTAGTCCCTTTGAGTTCGTTATAACCGTAGTTTACTGTACTGTACAAGGCAGCGTTATGACTTAACTGACTCCCACCTCGAACTATTCTGTTGTCCTTTCACAGGCAATAAACCTCCACACAAGTGCCAGAAAACTCTACTCTATGGGACACATGACAAACTTGGTGTCCGGTGATGTTTCGACTATTGCTGCCAAATTCTCAAACATGATCTTCATATTGTTCACACCTATCGACATCGTTGTCATCTTCCTGCAACTGTTTTACCTCCTGGGTCCTGCGGCAGGGCTCGGGTTCCTCGTCGTCCTCATCCTTGTGCCCATCAACATGCATATATCAGACAAAATCACCGACCTTTTTGCAAAGAACGCTAAACACAAAGATGAGAAGATGAAACTTCTCAACGAGGTCTTGACAGGGATGAAGGTAATGTTGGATCTGAGTGTATTTACCTGTTTGTAAAGTTGTCAACATTGTGTTAAGGCATATAGGAACATATTTGTTCACAAATTTATTTGAGGAACATTTCAAGGTGACTTTTACAGCGCTTTCTTTGTTTATGGTATAGTGTTTCGCAAAAACTATTCATTGTTTTAGTTAAACTTTAACTGTTGGAATTTGAAGGTATATGCTTATTAATATAGAAATATTTCAAATTTTGTTCTTTGAAATATGTTAACGTTAATTTATGTTTATATACATGTAGTTAACGTTAATTACATATTTAATATGGAAATATAGAGACCACGCTTGTGTTCCTATCATCATTTCCAAATTAGGCTTAAAGCGAACCATCTTGCATGATATACAACTTCTACACTAAGATTCGAACCTGTAGCGGATGTTTTCGCAACGAAAGCTGAAGTTACTTTTTGGAAGACTTTAGAGTAACCTATATAGCGTGATGGTAGCGTGACGATGATGACAACCTAAGAATAGTATGCAGTTGGTCATTTGATATTATTACGGAAAGAATATGATATTGAGCAATATGACAAGGTAATTTCACACTCTAAATGAAACCCTGCAGGGGCGGCCGGGTAGCCTAGTGGTTAAAGCGTTCGCTCGTCATGCCAAAGACCCGGGTTCGATTCCCGACATGGGTACAATGTGTGAAGCCCATTTCTGGTGTCCCCCGCCGTGATGTTGCTGGAATATTGCTAAAAGCGGCGTAAAACCATACTCACTCACTCACTCTTAACCTGCAGGTGCTGAAACTTAATGCATGGGAGCCATGTTTCGGGGCCAAGTTGTCGGCCTGTCGGGAGAGGGAGATGGACGTCCTGACACGCATGACGTATTACAGGGCTCTGCATATCTTCAGCTGGAACACAGCGCCCTATCTGGTGTGTGGAGGATACAAACTAAACAGGAGTGCCACAGAAATATCTGTCAACTGTGCACCGATTCACAACAATTCACCGATTCACATAAACTCAAAAGAGAGCACAATTTGCAAAATAACATTTTAAAGCTGATTACCTAAAACCAAAAGCCCCACGCCCTACGTTTGATGCCCCTGAAAATGCAGAAGGTTCTAAATGTTAGGTGCACATATTTTTTAGAAAACCTTTCTTTTTTAGTTAATGATTCGTTTAAGCTGTCCCCCTGATAGATCGGTGTTTTACACTGCAAGTATTCTTTGTTAGTGTTCAACTTAGGTGACAGAAACCTTTCCGGCAAATATGTGTCGTTCTCCCATAGTTGCTGTCAGTTACGGCTCACTCACGATATACGGCTCTGGCAAGGTGACAAGGTCCAATTGCCCTGGAGGCGGTTGTCCATGTGAGACTCGCCTCTGACTTAACAACTGACATGTCATCATATCAACAAGCAAACACATTTACTATCGGGATATTTCTGGGACTTCTGTCTCCAGGGTTTTTCTTACAATCATTTTGCAACCTCGATGAGCCAGCAAGGGCCATTTCCGTCCGTATCTTCATTTCTCCGTGCACCTCCATGCCGAAATAATCAAACTAAACATCGCACCAACATATTGAAACACGCAGCTGTAATTACGACGACATAGAACCCAAAATGTAATGTGAATTTTGCTATGCTGAAAAACATACATGTATAAAGCTATTGGTTTTCAGGAACCGGGATAAAGTGAAGGTGTATATTTTGGCTTATACTGTTAATTAGAAAAATATCTGGTTATGCAGCTCAGAGCTCCAGATAAGCTGCGTATCTGCGTAAAATACGCATCAGAAATGCAGAAATACGCAGTAAAATAATATCCAAGCGTATCAAATACGCCACGAACTTTACAGATACGCTACAAAAATAAAATTTGTGCGTATATTCAAAATATTGTGAAGTAACCCTGCGTATTCGATTGGCAAATCAGCAACTTATTTTGAAATTATAGACGGGCATTCCGTCAACCTTGCCAAACTCCACAGTTACACCATGATCATTTGCCATCACACTTTCTTGTGGAAGTATCGTGGTATTTTTGTGTCCTATAGAGCTCTCGAATCCACACAACACCAGTTTGCAGGGACTAGATGAATAGTGTTTTTAAATATTTAACTTAAATACCCACATGTGTAAAAACTAGTGGGTAACAGAAATTTGAATACCCAGATGGAATAGCTTTTACGCAGTGATTTGAAAATGCATGGGTAAAATACCAACAACACCAAAAGCTTATCTGGAGCTCTGCAGCTGTAGCTGAAGAACAATATCTGGTCTCAAAACAACACGCCCCCAACCCGAATATCAAATAGTCAGTCCATAAAGTGAAGGTCCGTGAGTGTATGGAAGATCTTCTCAAATAGTCATTACATTCCTTCATCCTGATACAGACGTGATGTGTTCCTTCAAACATAAGTGGGGCGGTCGGGTAGCCAAGTGGTTAAAGCGTTCGCTCGTCACGCCAAAGACCCGGGTTCGATTCCCGACATGGGTACAATGTGTGAAGCCCATTTCTGGTGTCCCCCGCCGTGATATTGCTGGACTATTGCTAAAAGCGGCGTAAAACCATACTCACTCTCTCACTCACTCAAATATAAGTGGTTCAAAACCATTTTTACAGTGTATTTCAGATTCCCATAATCCCAATATTTTGTACATTTATCTGTTAGTCCTTCAAGATGTTTATGTATATAAGGATAAATATATTCAGTTCCATTTGTATTTCGTCAGCGAATTGAGCGTATCCATGCAAATTCTGTATGTAATTCAAAACCACCTGCCTCAGCTGTGGAACTCATTGGTTATTATCCCAATGGCCCTTGTCATTCTGGACCGCCTCCGTGGTCTAGTGGTAGAGCGTCCGCCCGGAGAGCGGAAGGTCCGGGGTTCGATCCCCGGCCGCGTCATACAAAAAGACGTTAAAAGATGGAATTTGTTGCTGCCCTGTCTGGCGCTCGGCATTGAGGGGCTAAAACAAGGACTGGTCGGCTCGGAGTCAGTATACTGTGTCTGAGTGGGGTATTCATGTTAAACTGCGGCATGGTATCTCAGTGACCTAGCACTATAAATCGGCATCAGTCCGGACTAGTACAAGCAGCCACACACCCACACGTACATGCACGTCGCTATATAAGTGCAATAATCTTGGACGCGACATTAAACCCCATTTCACCTCACCTCACCTCACCCTTGTCATTCTAGCATGTGATAGAGTGTACAGCTTGGGTCACATTTGACTTTACTTTGAACAACCTTTAACCAACGCTTGGGCTTGGTGTGGTGAACCTGGAACACACTGTTAAAGGCGGTGTAACTCACTCTTCACATACTCGATGGGACATTGCTTTTAGGTGCCAAATAATAAAGTTGACATCATGTCTTCTTATTTCTAACTGCCAATCATATGCCTCACGTGCTTTTCACAAATTATTTCAGATTTCAATGGTGATATTCACGGGGTATTTCCTCCTTGACGATGACCCAATATTTACAGCCAGGACCGCGTTTTCCGTCATATCTGCACTCAATCTTCTTCGGCTTGCTATTAACCAGGCCCCGGATATAATGAACGATATTCACAGTGTAAGTGAAATCCCTTATCCTTCTTTCTCTTCCACGGGATGTATACTTTTTGGGGGGCTACGGGGGTGCTACCACTATTTAAGCCCAATGGTACATTTTCGAGACTAATTATTTTAATTTTTAGACGTTTTATATTTAATTTAATGGACGGTGAGTTACACTGGATATTTATTCAATTTCTTACTCTAATTGAGTAGAATTTAGAACTGTCGGTTTGTGTTTTATTATTTATGTGAAGAGAATTTCGTGGATGTAATGACGTTACATTTCGTGATTAATACCACTTTTAATAATCTGACGAAACAAATATGAATATTGTTACTTACGTGTGTTTCTATATATCTTCATTTCAGATTAATCTTTCAATCAAAAGAATAGAAACCTTCTTGTGTGAGAGTGACTTCAAGTCTGTCAGAGGTGGCGATACAGAATCAAGCGGTAAAAACCCTGGTGTACTATTTGTCTAGGGAGTACATCTCTCAAGCAGAGTTGCAGTTTCATCGCAGAGTCGAGCAAGAATCAGATAATCTTGGGTTCGAATCCAAGATTCGCACTGATTATAATTCATGGTCTGTTAGAACCATACGCTTGGTCATGTCACACCTCTGTACCAGCATCACTTTGGGCTTATCTCCCACATGAGGTGAGGTGAGGTGAAATGGGGTTTAACGTCGCGTCCAAGATTATTGCACTTATATAGCGACGTGCATGTACGTGTGTGTGTTTGTGTGGCTGCTTGTATTAGTCCGGACTGATGCCGATTTATAGTGCTAGCTCACTGAGATACCATGCCGCAGTTTAACATGAAAACCCCACTCAGACACAGTATACTGACTCCGAGCCGACCAGTCCTTGTTTATAACCCCTTAATGCCGAGCGCCAGACAGGGTAACACCAAGTATCATCTTTTCACGTCTTTTGGTTTGACGCGGTCGGGGATCGAACCCCGGACCTTCCCCTCACCGGGCGGACGCTCTACCACTAGACCACGGAGGCGGTTGTCCCACATGAAGCGGTCAGGTCGTGGTATAACTGAAATTCTCTCTATGTGGCGTTGATCCTAACTCACTCAAGTGGGTGGGTGCGGTTTTATCAATATTCCAGCAATGTCAGGGCGGAGGACACCAGAAATGGGTATCACACCTTGTACCAATGAAGAGCCTTGAAATAAAGCAGGTGATAGTAGTTTACCCAAAGTATCGTACAGGGTATGGTGGGATTCGAACTTACAATCTGTTACACATGTTTCGTATTGTCTCCTTTATACCAGAAAGAAAGACTTCCATTTTTCTTGTTTTACTTTGTATAGAATGTATATTCTTATTTGCTAAGAATACAAACACAGTGGGTAATATTATTAGAGGTTAGATATTTCGCAAGCATACAATTAAAATTCGCAGTGATCCTTTCACTGGGTAAATAATTTGTCATTTGTTTGAACATGTATGGAGGCTTAAGTTTTATCATTTTTTTCATTTGTCAACCATTTGGACATTGCTCATTAATATTCTTGCTATCATTACAGATGCCGCAATCGAGATTACAAACGGCCATTTCACCTGGGATTCAAATACAGCACAAACGTTAAGCAAGTATGTTATTTATAAAAAAAAAAAATTTCAACAAACAACCTTTCTTGACATTTTATTCTATCTTTGAAAGATATCTGTAAATACGTACACAAACACGTTTGACCAATATGAACACAGATATATGAATTTCTTGCCAGTGTGAACCTGAGCATCCCCGAGGGGAGTCTGGTGGCTGTGGTCGGGCATGTGGGGGCGGGCAAATCTTCACTGGTAGCAGCAGTGCTGGGGGAGATCCAGAAGGTTAAAGGTCATCTCAGTGTCCAGGTATGCTAAAGAAATAAACGCTCAAACAAAGTATTTTCATCAAAATACGTAGAACACGTAGTATCTTCTCAATGCTCAGGTATGTTCATTTGCTAAAGCTATAAGCGCTATGCTAAAAAAAGGGTTAACAAAATCAAACATCTTCAGTACGGTCTCTTATAACCCACTGTGACATTTCTGTAAAATAATTTACCAAATATATGTACACATCTTGGGTTTCCATTCTTTTCATGACAAGATAAAATGATAGAATAACGTTTATCCACCGTGCAGGGTCGTGTAGCCTATGTGCCCCAACAAGCCTGGATCCAGAACGACACCTTGCAGAACAACATCCTGTTTGGGAAACCCATGAACAGGCAGCTGTATAAAACAGTGATCCAGGCATGTGCCCTACAGCCTGATATAGATATGCTATCTGCTGGAGATCTCACGGAGATCGGGGAAAGAGTGAGTAGTCATGTTGTTTACACGAGGAGAAAGATTGTGAAGGCAAATATACATTCTTTTTAAAATGATATAAGGATTTCTCCAATGCTTCAACCAGGAAGGGTAACATATATTGGCACATATTTTAAGCAATGGGCTAGTGTTCATTTAATTTATTTTTTACTAATGTGATTAACATTGCAATATAATACAAATTAAACTGGCCCATGTGCATTTTAAGGTATCAAACATTCTGCTGTATAAATCACGATATTATGACAGTAACTCCGTGTCAGAACATACGCTTGTGCCTTGCTTGTTAAGAAAATATAATATATATTGTCAATAAATGATACCAGTAAGATGAGCTATTTACACTTGAAATACAAGTATTGCAGAAAACATGCTACACTTTTCGCAAACACTTGGTGTCATCACTGATTTTCAGTGATCCACTCCAATGAAATAGGTTTCTTCTGATAATCGAGACTGGTTATTCTCTGTCGTAGACGGGTTTTATTGCATAATGATTGATATGTTCGGTTTACTGTACTAAAATAAATAGTGTGGGAGTTTTCAGAAGTATCTGGTGAAGAAAGGTAGGTATACTACTCAAAAGAAGTTAAGGATCACTTGATTCTTTCATATTACTATAGTTAATCTCTCATGTCATGACAGATTAACTTTACCATTATGAAAGAATCGGGTGATCCTTAACTTCTTTTGAGTAGTATACATCGTTTTAAATAAGGCATACATTTTCCATAGTGGCACTGTATATTTAGAATTAATAACCAACTACGTATGTAGCATGGTTACAAATGAAAGTGACCTATTTATAAAGTGATAATCTATAAACTAAAGTCATCATTATATCCACGTAAGTATTGGACAGAGTGACATAGTTCCTGTCTCCATGGATATCAAAATCATTTTTCATTTGTGTATTATGTTTACCTTGCAAAAGGCTATCAACATTTATTGTTGAATTCTCCAGTTAGAGATATATGCCACTTGTTACATACAGTCAAGGTATACTGAAGAGGTCTATTTAAAATACATCATCAGGTATAGGACCCATTTGTACATGTATGGTAATGCAGATATCATACAATTAATAAAGATTTCAATACATCTATCTGTACATCGTCTTCTTCAAAATTGCTCTTAATTTCGTTGTTCTCTTCAGCATAAGAATATTAACAGAACAGAACAGATATTTATTCATGAAAAAGACTTGGGCTTCGGCCCCTCGTCTAACAGATACAACAAAAATATATATATTGACAATGGAGGTAGGACACTATTTCATATTTACTGTAAGCAGGATTTAATATATTTAGAGATGTATAACAGTTGTGTTTTACAACACAACTGTGCTGTTTATCACGAAAGAGGCAAAGGTGTCCAGACTTGATACATTCTATTGGAAAGAAAATTTCAGTTGGTTATGTGTTCATCGAAGAGATGATTATATGATAAATGCCCTTTATCAGTAGACAGTGAGTGTGTGAGTGAGTTTGGTTTTACGCCGCTTTTAGCAATATAACAGCAATATCACGGCGACGGACACCAGAAATGGGCTTCACACATTGTACCCATCTTAGGAATCGAACTCGGGTCTTCGGCGTGACGAGCGAACGCTTTAACCACAAGGCTACCCGACCGCCCCCAAATCAAGACAGAAGCAGAGAGTATTTACAGCCAGATCTGTCAACAACATTGTCTTCTGTATTGTATTTGTTTCCTATCTTGTCTTCAGGGTATCAACTTGAGTGGAGGACAGAAGCAGAGAGTGTCTCTAGCCAGAGCTGTCTACAATGATGCTGACATCTATCTGCTGGATGATCCACTCAGTGCTGTCGACAGTCATGTGGGGAAACACATCTTTGAAAAAGTCATTAAAGGGATACTTAGGAATAAAGTGAGATTATGAAAAATATTTGTACCAGTTGTTTGAAAATTCGTGTTTACATGACTTCACATTGTGTGATTGTGTTATGATAATGTGGAGTTCTTGAACCTTAACATTATGATATTTTGTTAGAGGATTTAAATAAGAGTGATGAGACGAGGACTGTGTACAACGCACAGGTCACAAATCTGGTGACGTAAAGCAATGTTGGGCACGGATAGGTGGTGGATGGGTAACGTTTAGCTTGCCTCAGTCCTAACCCACTCTGAAGCACATGATACATATGGTGTCTATTTGGCAAGTGACCTTGTTCGAAATATGCCTCTGTTCACTCAGCAGTAAATGGGTACCCGGTGGGGTGAGATCGGAATGTTACTGCTAACCTACGACCCAGGCAGATGAGAATGGGTTTTTTCACACTGCTCCATTGCCGGGGGTAAATACTATCGTGTATCCAAGGACCTATCCAAGTTGGAAGTCAGGCGCTTTGTAAATGCCTGATATTGACACGGCTTACACATTAGAATACATAGTACCAGCATCACTACTTTCATTTTGACATATGATTGCAGGTCGTGGTGTTGGTAACCCACAATCTGCGTTACCTACCTGGCGTTGACAACATCGTGGTTGTGGGGGACGGCACAGTTGCAGAGACGGGGTCGTTCCGCGACCTCCTCAACAGTGACGGTGTGTTCACACGTGTGCTGCGATCCTACCTGGTGGATTATGAGGACAACCGAACATGTATGGAAGGTGAATAGAGAATAATGAAAAAAATTTAAAAAATTCTACGTGTATATATACTTGTCAAGCAGAATGTATTGGTATGTCATCACAAAGGACCCATTCACGAACGAACACCAATGAATCTCTTTAAAGACTGCACCAAGTGTTAGCTAAACAGAAGAGTTCTCCCTGCCCCTGCCGTGAGAGTCAAGTATATGTGATGTTCTTAAGGACTGAAATGTCAAATCCGTATGTTATTCTGATGAACCACGACCCTGCTTGTTTAATCAGCGGATGGGCAGGTTTCACCACGTAATCCCATAGATTAAACAACTGTTTTCGTTGAGGAGCTGTGAAGTCTTTTAACAGCAAATTATTGTTTAAAAACAAATTTATAAAGTTTTATGTATTATTTTATTATTTTATGTTTTGTAAGATAATATCGCATATTATAACAAAAAAGGTAACTAAATCATGTCTATGTTACTTGCATAAAACCTAAACCTAAATGTTGTTGGAACTTTTGCTGTTTCTAGGATGACAGTAACACACGTTTCCTGATTTGCAACAATGAGACAATGGAATGAGATATAATTTTAATCCACTGGCATACTTTACACCGCTATTTATTTCTTCTCTTAAGCCCAATTGAATCTGTTTCGTCGGATAATCGAGACTGGTTACTCTCTGGCATTGATGTTTTATGTATACATGTGAACACGAATAGTTCATGAGTCTATGTTAATTTAATAACTTTATTTTTTTACGTTTTACGTTGATTTACATTTTCATCGCAGATTTTGAATCTGAAGGTAACATCAATCTAGATTCAGACCTAAAGTCGAAGTTGAAAAGATTGGACAGGTTGGTAAAACTGTTTATATGTGTGATATAGAATCATAGTCTGCAGCAAATATTTATTCGGCCACATTTTACATGTATTACACAACTGGGTGCCGTTGTACAAAGCGATCTTAGTGCTAAGATGATCATACTCCCGTACCTTAACATAAACTTACGACAGTCTTAGCGCTAAGGTTGTTTTGTACAACCGTCCCTGGTCAATTGTCAGGAGGATTCAAATGTACATCTACCATAATCGACGTCTCACCGCCCACCAACTCCAGCGTTCGTTACCTCTAGTGCGGTATGTTCTACGTGTATGTGGGGCGGTCGGGTAGCCAAGTGGTAAAAGCGTTCGCTCGTCACGCCAAAGACCCGGGTTCGATTCCCGACATGGGTACAATGTGTGAAGCCCATTTCTGGTGTCCCCCGCCGTGATATGGCTGGAATATTGCTAAAAGCAGCGTAAAACCATACTCACTCACTCACTCTCTGTGTATGTTTCCTTTCAAGTGAAGATCTATCTGAAAACCAACACTTCAGACGTCAGACTTCCAAGATTTCCAGACAAGGCTCCAGACATCTGTCAACTTCGTCTGAAGACAAACCAGAGACTAATGGTCGTTATGTGAAGGAAGAAGAAATCACTGAACCAGATGCCAAGGTATGTAATGAACACTTATCGACGACGGACTGTAAAATATCGAGTTTGGACCAGCCATTCCAGTGATTGATATTAAAAACTTCGATCCGCGCAATTGGGATACGATGACATACAATCAACTAATGCACGGAGTCTGACCATGCGATCCATTTAGTTGCCTCCTACGACAAGCATTGGTTGCTTTGGATCTATAGTCCCTCCCAGAATCTCCCCGGGTCAGTATTTCCTGTTTATGTTGACAAATTGATATCACTTCATGTTGTAATAGCGCAAAGGAAATCTGTTAACGCCAGTTGTAAGTAAGGATGCGGTGGAGTAGCCGTATGGTTAAGGCTCAAGCTCGTTACACCCAAGTCAAGGTTCGATTCCCCACATGGACACAGTGTGAGGATTCCTGCAGTGAAATTTCTGGAACATTGCTGAAAGAAGCTCAGAAACCATACTCACTCACCTTAGCGTGATACCATACTCATGCTTTGTTGACTTATAGCTCAACTGAGGCTGAAAGCGGCTCAAAACCATACTCACTCACCTCAGCGTGATACCATCCCCATGTTTTGTTGACTTATAGCTCAACTGAGGCTGAAAGCGCCTCAAAACCATACTCACTCACCTCAGCGTGATACCATCCCCATGCTTTGTTGACTTATAGCTCAACTGAGGCTGAAAGCGGCTCAAAACCATACTCACTCACCTCAGCGTGATACCATCCCCATGCTTTGTTGACTTATAGCTCAACTGAGGCTGAAAGCGGCTCAAAACCATACTCACTCACCTCAGCGTGATACCATACCCATGCTTTGTGGACTAATAGCTCAACTGAGGTTATTGTGTACTTCTATGAAGCGATTATTACGTCGCATAGTTACTGGAATTTGTCGATATGTTATGACTTTATACAACATAAGAAGCTGCCTTTGACATCAAAACCCCATATGAGCATCACTAGAACATGGTAACTTCTGATTACTAGCTGCGTGTGTTTCTGTTTCAAGAATAGAAATTGGGTATCCCGTTACATGTTGTGTGTTCCCTATATAGGATATTTACGATGCAAAAACCACAACATGGGTGATAATCTTTTCGTCAAAAAATAATATCATTCTTTAAAAAATGACATCATTTCACTCACTGAAGTAACTTTTAGGAACTGCATATGAATACCATGCCAGGTTAAACACGTCATAAATTGGCACATGATTTGAAACCATGTTTATGTACAGAAACATCTACAAATTGATGAAACACCTCTCTGAAACTTATGGGGATGTAACGACAAACATTTATCAGACATTACAGACAATCACATCGATGCGTGGAGCTTATTCAAAGATACAGTAAACTACGGATATAACGAACACGCTTATAACAAACTGACCAATACAACGAACTTATTTTTTAGTCCCGGCCATTTGTTGTATGTATGCTGTATATATGCTTATAACGAACTACGGTTATAACAAACTAAAATTAGTGGTCCCTTTGAGTTCGTTGTAACCGTAGTTTACTGTACCTGCTAAGATTCTTCATTTGGATATTTATCAGATTGTGATACGCAGTTTATCGGATTGATTTACAGCATCGCAAACACTATGTATCCAGCATTGATATTTTAAATATTCAAATGGTGCATCTCGAGTCATGGAACTATGACGTCACATGTGATGCGTTCATGAGCATCGGTTTACACAACATAACAGTATGTTCGTTTGTGCATCAAATCAATCTTATATCTCTTGAATATGAGCAATTCTTCATAAGTTAACCAACATATATGGTATTCGCGTTCCTTTGCAGGAGAAGTGGTCAATGCTTCGGAAGTACATCTACGCTTACGGCGAGTGGAACTTAGTGTTTCTGCTTGTGTTTTATGCCATGTACTACATCTCATGGGTGGGAGCCAACTTGATGCTTGTAAGATGGACAAATGACCCTCGTCTCCAACACGTCAACGACAGTAACCGCAGCGTTTTGGATAGAGACGTTGTGTGGAGGACAAACATGATCTACCTCAGCATCTACAGCTCTCTCGGAGTTGCATTGTGTAAGTGAGTGAGTACTGTGAGTGAGTTAGTTGGCTTTTACGCCGCTTTTAGCAATTTGCCAGGCGAGGACATCCGAAACGGGCCCGAAATGGGCTTCACTCTTTGTACCCCTTATGGGGAACTGAACCCGGACCTTCATCCAGATGGGCAAACGCTTTAACCACCAGGCCACCTCTCCGCCGGATGTGTACCATGAAAGAGTGAGTGAGTGAGTTGGGTTTTAACGCCGCTTTTAACAGTATTCCAGTTTTATCACGGCGTGTCAGCTTAATGTGGGAGGAAACCCGAAGTGATGCAGGTCTCAGACGTTTACCACTTCGGTGAAACCCACGAGCACGGGTATGGTGCTGACAAACCAAGAAACATAATCGAGGCAAACCGGGAGTCGAACCCACAATCATTCTGGCGTGCCCAAGGGATGCTACTCTGCACAGCGAATCGCGGCGCCTTATACGACTAGGCCACTCGTGCCCCACCATGAAAGAACATGATAGAACCTAATATTACAACCCAAAATGCAAGAGGCTGCAGTTATTGCGTGATACTAGAGGTAATGTAACGGTCAATAACTATAACTATAAGAGCTATAATTCCAGAAAAGTGCAAGGAACTAGGTAACTAGAATATATTACCCTAAACTTGGAGCTATAGCTATTACAGTGAACTACGTAAGTCAGCAATTACAGGTCACTACATATATATAGGCCTTTACAGGTGATCAAAGCATTCCCGGGAAATTGGGGCTTCATAAGCTCTGGGAATACGGTATAAGGATCTGTACCGAAACGTCGCCTTTATAGTAAATAATGAAATTGTTATCCATAAATAATTTCTACTTTGCCAACCAAAGTAGGTTCATATGTCAAAACGCCTCCGCCCCTACCCCGCCACACATACTCACTTCACATCACCCAAAATGGATATCCAACAGTCCAACACACATTGTTCATATGTGTCTGAAAGCCATATTGTCGCCTTCATATTTCAGCCGTCTTTATTCTTCTTTACGCCTACATGATGTCCCGTGGCGTCGTGCGTGCCTCCAAAGATCTCCACAGTAAGATGCTGACGAATATTCTGAAGTCACCAATGGAATTCTTCGACACAACTCCAGTTGGCAGAATAACCAATCGTTTCTCACATGACATGAAGGTCATTGACGACGAGATGCCCATGTGTCTGGAGTTCTGGCTTGACGGCATGGTCAACGTTGTGACGTCAATGATCGTGGTGGTGTACAGCACGCCACAGACGGTGTTAGTTCTCATTCCTGTCGTGTGCGTCTACAGGTCACTGCATGTATGTATTCTGCAATGTCATGTCTTTTTCAAACCAGAATTCCTTGAAACATTAGTAGTACTCTATCTTCTAAGCTACTTAATGACTTGCTTTCATCCTTTGATAATACGTGACTTGTGAAGATCCGGGGTAGAATAAGTCTGCAGCAACCCATGCTTGCCGTAAAAGGCGACTATGCTTGTCGTAAGAGGCATCTAACGGGATGGGGTGGTCAGGCTCGCTGACTTGGTTTATGCATGTCATCGATACCAGTTGTATGGAACGATGCTCATGATATTAATCACTGGATTGTCTGGTCCAGACTCGATTATTTACAAACCGCCGTCATATAGCTGGAATATTGCTGAGTGCGGCGTTAAAAAACACATCCAACCAACCAATGATAATACGTCATCTTCAAGTTACTGCAGAGGGGATTATTTCCTAGCCATCTGCACAAAGCGACCGTAGCAACGACTCATGTATCGGGCGGGTGGCTCAGTGTTACGTCGCTTTGATAAGTATTTCAGTTAATCACTGCATGTTTGGTATATATGGAAGGGGAGCCCGCAGTGAATATCACTCTGGTGAAGCCAATGAGGACGTGCATCTGGGATTTCGACCAACAGTTGTTGGTTTCGGGCACCTGATGGACACTGTACGCAACTCTGGCATTCCGACCACATGAATACTGTAGCTTCCATTCTGTAACATAGACCGACAATAACCGTGGGGGTAAGATGTGGTTAGGCAATTTGACGTCATTGAACTCCGACCAGTTTCACGAATACCTGTTGCACTGTATTTTTTATTTGTTCCTAAAGGACGTTCTTTTATATGTCCTTTCACCAGCGTACGAATATTGACACCACTGAAGTGATGAGTATGTCATTACACAGTGATGGGCCCCCATGTTTTCCTCTTTGGTAAAGCCTACGAGCATATGTATGATGCTAACATACAACGAATCACATTCAGGGCGAATATGGGATTCGAACCATCAATCATTGGATTCTGGGACCATACATGCACAGCTCGGAACTGCGAATCCCGATGCCTCAATCGACTGGAGACTCGTTCCTCACAAATATTCCTACTCCCAGCTGTAAGATGCAGCTATTACAAGAGGGACATTGACGTCTTTGAATGCTGACCTGTTTCACGAATACCTGTTGCTATCACTGTACTTTATTAGTTATTACCAAAGTAGGTTTTTGAAATTTTCCTTTCACCTTTTCTCTTTTTTGTAACAGACATACACATGTTGACACCACGTGATAAGGATGGCATTATTCATCCTACTGTTGCCTGCCCCAGGCCATTACAATGTACTTGTTGTATTCATAGAGTGAGTGAGTGACTGACTGTTGACACGCTTAGTTCCGATTCACTTACAGAAATATTACAACACTGCCAAAATCCGACTCAGCAGATTAACGGTAACGGCGAAGTCTCCCATGGAGAGCCACTTCACTGAGTCCGTCATGGGGGCAGAGATCATTCGTGCTTTTGGTGATCAACAAAGGTTTGCTAACAAGATGCAAGATACCATTGACCATTATCACAAAATGAGAATCTGTGGGAGAGTCGCTTACAGGTAAGTGAGACTATTGTTTTCAGTCAGTGCTTCAATACATTCATTTCCTTTCTCTCAGAGGGAGGAGCCACAATATTTCTGTTAACCTGAACGCATTAATTTTCAAAAAGTCCAGTACGTCCAGTGAATTATTGGTTTGGGGGTAAATCTGAGAATTAACCTTTCTCCGTGACTTTGATTAAAGTGACAAACGTTGAGGACCTGTATCACATCAGAGTTTCCAAGCCATATTGCCATGATGTAACTGGGGGCGGTCGGGTAGCCTAGTGGTTAAAGCGTTCGATCGTCACGCCGAAGACCCGGGTTCGATTCCCGACATGGGTACAATATGTGAAGCCGATTTCTTGTGTCCCCCGCCTTGATATTGCTGGAATATTGCTAAAAGCGGTGTAAAACCATACTCACTCACTCACTGATGTAACTGAAATAATGTTCAAAGCAGCGATAAGCCTAGCAACCACCAACCTTTACCGCATCCGTGGTCAAGTGGTAGAGCGTAACCCGGAGAGCGGAAGGTCGGGGTTCGATCCCCGGACGCGTCATACCAAAAGGCGTTTAAAGATGGTACTTGTTGTTACCCTGCCTGGCGCCCGGAATTTAAGGAGTAAAACAAGGACTGGTGGGCTCGGAGTCAGTATACTTTGTGTGAGTGGGGTAATCATGTTAAACTGCGACATGGTATCTCGGTGGGCTGGCACTATTAAATGGGCACATACACGTCGCTGTATAAGTGCAATAATCTTAAACGCGACGTTAAACCCCATTTTACTTCACATCCATCCACCTGCCCCCTGTCATAGATCCTGTACTTCAACAGTTGGGAAACTATTCATTTTTCCAAAGCTATATGGTATGTGTTGTGTAGATGGATTGGGGTCCAGATGATCGGCATTGGTAATGCACTATGTGGAGCCTCCTGTCTACTGAGGAGTTTTACGAAAGGAGCCACATCAGCAGCCATGATGGGTCTGGGGACTACATTCTCATTACAGGTAGTACAAAACAACATGGACAAGGTATAAGAATAAAACACCATAAGAACACCCGAAGTGATCAAGAGTGTCAAGAAAATAATTTGTTTTTGTATCAAGAACAAAAAATCCCAACCACCTACACCAACCTGAATATTAAATGGTCTGCCCCCAGTTCTGAAATCTTACCCGTTTTAAAAACTATGTTTTTCAGTTGAAAGGGGACATGAGATGGCTTATGAGCTTGCAGAGTGACCTGGAAACCAATTTAATATCAATGGAGAGAATCACACAGTATATTCACAGTCCTAATGAGGTATGTCCACACACTCATGGTCCTCAGAAAGTATAAAAAGCTACTTGAGTTGCGATTACTGAGTTCAAAGCTGTAGTTGCTCAGTGAAGAATAAAGAAGTGCTATTTTGTCAGGAATATGCTTACGAAGAGCCACTTAGTATCCTTAACACAAAAATTCAAAGAAATTTAATGCCCCTTTGACAGGATTCGTGGAGGAAGAATGCTTCTCAGCTTCCACGGAACTGGCCGGAAAGAGGCAGGCTGGAGTTCCACAACTACAGCCTCCGATACAGTCGGGGCGGGGACCTGGTGCTGAGGAACATCTCATTTACCGTACATGGAGGGGAGAAGGTGGGTGGAACGTCTCATTTACTGTACATGAAGGGGAGAAGGTAGGTGGAACGTCTCATTTACTGTATATGGAGGGGAGAAGTTAGGTGAAAATTTAATGTCTCATTTACTGTACATGGAGGGGAGAAGGTGGGTGGGACGTCTCATTTACTGTACATGGAGGGGAGAAGGTGGATGGAATGTCTCATTTACTGTACATGGAGGGGAGAAGGTGGGTGGAACGTCTCATTTACTGTACATGGAGGGGAGAAGGTGGATGGAACGTCTCATTTACTGTAAATGGAGGGGAGAAGGTGGGTGGGACGTCTCATTTACTGTACATGGAGGGGAGAAGGTGGATGGAACGTCTCATTTACTGTAAATGGAGGGGAGAAGGTGGGTGGGACGTCTCATTTACTGTACATGGAGGGGAGAAGGTGGGTGGGACATCTCATTTACTGTACATGGAGGGGAGAAGGTGGGTGGAACGTCTCATTTACTGTACATGGAGGGGAGAAGGTGGGTGGAACGTCTCATTTACTGTAAATGGAGGGGAGAAGGTGGTTGGGACGTCTCATTTACTGTAAATGGAGGGGAGAAGGTGGGTGGAATGTCTCATTGACTGTACATGGAAGGTAGAAGGTAGGTGAAATGTCTCATTTACTGTACATGGAGGGGAGAAGGTAGATGGGACGTCTTATTTACTGTACATGGAGGGGAGAAGGTGGGTGGGACATCTCATTTACTGTACATGGAGAGGAGAAAGTGGGTGGAATGTCTCATTTACTGTACATGGAGGGGAGAAAGTGGGTGGGACGTCTCATTTACTTTACATGGAGGGGAGAAGGTGGGTGGAACGTCTCATTTACTGTACATGGAGGGGAAAAGGTAGGTGGATTGTCTCATTTACTGTACATGGAGCAGGGAAAGTGGGTGGAAGATCTTATTTACTGTAAATGGAGGGGAGAAGGTGGGTGGAACGTCTCATTTACTGTACATGGAGGGGAGAAGGTAGATGGAATGTCTCATTTACTGTACATGAAGGGGAGAAGGTGGGTGGAACGTCTCATTTGCTGTACATGGAGGGGAAAAAGTAGGTGAAATGTCTCATTTACTTATATGGAGGGGAGAAGGTAGATGGACTGTCTCATTTACTGTACATGGAGGGGAGAAGGTGGGTGGAATGTCTCATTTACTGTACATGGAGGGGAGAAGGTAGATGGAACGTCTCATTTACTGTACATGGAGGGGAGAGGGTAGGTGAAATGTCTCATTTACTGTACATGAAGGGGAGAAGGTAGGTGAAATGTCTCATTTGCTGAACTTATGCTATTTCCATTCACATACTGTTGCATTATTGTTATCTGTCATATGTCCAGGTCGGTGTTGTTGGCAGAACAGGAGCGGGTAAATCCTCCCTGATGCTCTCCCTTTTCCGTCTGGTGAAGCCAGCAGAGGGCGCTATTGTCATAGACGGTGTAGACATTGCTGACATCGGACTTCATGATCTCAGGGAGAAACTTGCTATCATACCACAGGTAGTATCTGTCTTATCAGCATATCCGCATGGTATTGATATCAGTAACTTGCATAGCAACATCTTCTTCAGAAACAGCTCTCATTGATTTCTCATCGACTTCTCTATCTGATTTGAATATACCAAATCGAGACAAATGACAAGTTAGGAAATTATCAATTTGCAACCCAAATTGTATTTTCGTTAATATTTCTCCATGCTATCTTCTTTTAGGACCCTGTGTTGTTTACGGGTCCGTTAAGGCTGAACCTTGACCCTCAAGACCTGTACTCGGACCAGGACATCTGGTCGGCCTTGGACCACACCCACATCCGCCAGTTTGTCGAGTCCTTGCCTGACCTATTGCAGAGTGACTGTGGAGAGGGAGGAACCAACTTCAGGTAGGCCCTAATGATTATGTGTAGGACGCATTAAGCTTTCCTAATTGTTCCGTTACAACCTGTCGTTGTCACTGAACGTTAATGTGCAGACCAAGGTCGCCAACATTATATATGATCCTTGGTTTGCTCTTTCTGTTATTTTTAGGTAACAGTCTTTGTGCTCTCCTATTCCTGAAATTCCATTATCTCACACACACACACACACACACACACACACACACACACACACACACACACATATATGTATATATACCACTCAGAAGAAGTTAAGGATCACCCGATTCTTTCATAATGGTAAAGTTAATCTGTCATGACATGAGAGATTAACTATAGTAATATGAAAGAATCAGGTGATCCTTAACTTCTTTTGAGTAGTATATAATCAGTTTCCCACACACGTTGCCATGGCGTCATAATCTAGGGTGTTGTCTCTTGTTATATGATCACTTATGCTTACATCGTTTCCCAGTGCGTGGATCGATTACCATGATGTCAGTCACTGGATTGCCTGGTCCAGACTCAATTATTTACAGACTGCCGTCATATTGCTGGAATATATCTGAGTGTGGCGTTAAAAACAACAAACAAACAACAAGAATGTGTGTAATTGGAGAATTATTTCCCACACTTTGGCGTTGTGGGTTGTTTTCAAAAGGCAATTGTAAAGTTTCTTGGACTCCACAACAAGACAACCGTCTCGCACCGCATTGTCACTATAAAAGGTTTCGTGATTATCTATTTATTATACAAATATTTATTACTCTGGTGTCTGTTGAGGTGATGGTTAGCAACTACAGCAATCATCTCGTGAAATGACTTTATCTTTTTAACGATTTACAAAGTATACAAGCAGTTGTACACCCTGAAGGTAAATAAAAGCACCTTGATGAAATATAACACATCTTTCTAGTTCTCTTCTGTTTTGACCCAGTCAAACTACTTTTGAAACAGTTGATGACTGTTCATGACTAATTTATTTATTAGTGTCGGGCAACGTCAACTATTCTGTATGAGCAGAACGCTCTTGAAGAAATCCAAGATCCTTGTTCTGGACGAAGCTACAGCAGCCGTTGATATGGAAACAGATGACCTGATCCAGCAGACCATCAGGTCAGAGTTCAAGGACTGCACGGTGCTGACCATCGCCCACAGACTCAACACGGTCATGGATTACGACAGGTGAGGTGAAATTGTAGATATTGCTGAATGTGCTAAGGAAAGTATGTAAATGAAGTGTATGAAATAGTTGTGATATGTGTCATTTTCGAGTTACCAAAGTCAAAAAGGGCGACAACTAGATCTTCGAATGAAGCAGTCAATCTCCTTGTCCATGCTCTTGTTGTAGTGATTACACATTGGATGTATTTCACGGTAATGATTAACACAGTACACAAGTGTATTATTATGGAATAAGACTGTTAGTTTGGAAGTAAGATGAGGGGATAGGGGTTTAACATTGCGATGAAGGTTATTTCATTCATATAGGGACGTGCAAGCATGTGAGGGCACGGCTTCTTGTGCTAGTCTGGACTAATGTCGTTTTTTATGTCCATTGAGATACCGTGTTGCAGTATAACATTGAGGTCCCATTCACACATGATGATGACACCGAGCTGGCCAGTCATTGTCCTTTATCCCTTTAATGCCAATCTTCCCGAGGCAAGAGAGTTAATTGTCTTTAAAAGTCCAGTTACCACCCTTGCCGAACTAGCCTGGAATTCCTGGGCTCGATCGTAGCGTCATCAGTGGCTATTACCAGTTATTTCCCTTCTAAGCCTCTCCTATGGACCAATCAGATTCCACCTCTCGTATCACTTGCATTTCCTTCAAACAAAATGGCGGCGCCAAGTCAGGACGATCTGCTCGATAATCAAGATCTATATTGTGATCAAGCGGGTCTTACATCGCGAAATGCATCAAATCACGTGAGCAGCTTGATTGAAAACATGACAAGATTTTGAAAATATCTGTTGACAACGTGTCTGCAGTGCACATGCTTCGCAAATCCTGCAATCGACCGAAATCTGCATGACAGTTTACGAACCGGATTTCGATTTCGTTGTGCGATATTGATTGGACTATGCAGACTCGTTAGTCCATCCAAATTGTAACTCCATTATACCAGTCTAGTTCGGCAAGGGTGGAAACTGGACTTTTATAGTCAGTTAACTCACTTGCCTCGGGAAGATGTTTAATGCCGAGCGCGAGGCAGATTAAAAACAAGTCCAATCTGTTGATGTCTTTTGACCGGGCAGGGAATCGAACCATCAACCATACGCTCTCCGGGCACACGCTCTCTTCTCGACACCACTGAGACGGTCTTGGATGGAAGAAAAGGAAATGGTAGAAACATGTAACTTTGAAATTAATCTTTCAGGATCCTGGTCCTGGACAACGGTTGTGTATGTGAGTTTGAGACACCCTCCTCCCTGTTGCAACAGCCTGACAGCATCTTTTACAGCATGGCCAAAGCTGCTTGGTTGACCTCCTAGTACAAAACCTTTGGGCTTTATACACTGTATGTTGATTAAATCTAACATGCATCTTTCAGGATCCTGGTCCTGGACAACGGTTGTGTATGTGAGTTTGACACACCCTCCTCCCTGCTGCAACAGCCTGACAGCATCTTCTACAACATGGCCAAAGCTGCAGGGTTGATCTCGTAATGTTCAGAGAGTTGACAGAATGTGTATGTTGCAAAGAAGAGATTGTTTTAGATACAGTACGGTACTCTGTCAGTGTTTGACGTGATAGACCGTACATCATTCTATATATTAGCTCTGAATGTGTATGGTTATTGTATAATAATACTTGGAAAGAATTAAATCATCACTTTATGTTATCAATCTTTATGGTCCTTCATGATGTAGACATACATGAAACTACAAATACAAATTTACGTTTTGTTTCCGAGAATTCTTGGACAATACTGGTATTCCAATCATTTTTCACACAGTCCAATAATGGTTATCCCAGCATTGTAATGTCATGATTATGTCATTCGAAATCAGTAACACAAATATAGCACATGTCATCATTGCCAATAAATACATTCTGGAATTCCATCTACGTGTTTTGTTGGCATATACTTTTTAATAACAAGCATCTGCTAATGGTTTTCGCCATTTTAATGGACACAGTTATAATTATATGTTATGTTTTGAGTGAGCCCACTGGTACCCAATTTTATTATAACATAAGCAATAATGCAGATACCAAATCAGTCGAAGCCACCTATGATGCTGCGCCTTTAAACTGATCCAGTAAGTCACTAGATAGCACGATAACCTCCAATATTGAATGTTATCTGTACCCGTCCCCAAGTCAAGTTTCATAACACCAGAGCTCCGTTGTCATCGTTGAAAATTAATATGAAAAAAAGCATATTGAGGAGTAGGCACAGTTGATCACCATAACAATGATGAAGTAAAATCATTAAAACTGATAAGTTACTTTACTGATTTAGAAAACACCCAGTTATAATAACCATATAGCCAAGGAAGTGCAAAATTGGAAAGGCATAATTTAGACACCACCGCTGTCAAGGCAGGGGTAAGAAACCTACAGCCCTTCAAAGAGGGGTCTCTCTCGTGAGATGGACATCTTGAAAGTACATGATCCTGTGACTAATGGTAGTCCCGACACTGACCATACAGTGAAGAGGCTGTGTCCTTTTGGTCTATTTTTTAATATCTTCTATTTTGAAACTGCTTGACACTGATGTTCCTTCTAATGATAATAGCATATTTTGTTCATATTAATATGAATTTACTGCTGGTCATTTTGTAAAAACATCATTTAAAAAAAAACAAAATTCGCCAAAAAGTAAATCTTCAGAGGAACCACAAGGATTACAAAGCTGGAACTTTGTATGACTGTAGATAGGTAGATTCCAGACTGTTCAAGGCATCGTGAATTTTTCTAGGAATGAATTTTACCAAATGTTCTTAAATGATATTAACATTGGTGGTATTGCAAGTTTAATTTTTCCTTAATTGATATTCGCTACCATAATAAGTTTAACGCCTCATCAAATAAAAACTTTTACTGATATACTATTTTTACAAAATATACAAAAACTATTAAGAATTCAGTTATATTAAACAGCTTGTCTTCAGAAAGCATACATCCAAGAACATAGAAACATTTTGTGAGTCATAAGGAATATATATATATATAATGTTATTAAGTCCGAGGCCAACACGTTTATTAGATTAAGGTATTTATGTTTTTATCACTAGACTTGGTATATGACTTCATATTGGAATATGATAACTTCTTTAATGAAAAGGTGTCAGTCAAGATTCTAATAGAGGAAAGGCAGTGATGGGACATATCTACATATTCTAGTTTATGAAGGTTTGTCTCAGATACAGTCAGACAGACAGACAGACAGACATGTTTATTAAGTAAAAGGCCAATGGCCCAAAATACAGACATGTGAGCATGACATTTACAGGGCACAGAATTTACCATCATTATTTTGTGAGCATAATATAAGAATTTACAAACTAGAAATAATGTTTGCTCATTATAATTACTAAGAATATTTATTACATGAGAATTACGGTAATGAGTAGGCATAGGAAGATTAACAAGGTATTTTTGTCTTAGGGCATAATATAAATTACAATTAAAGAGTACATGGAATTCATCCTCAATGACATTTACTCCCTTACTACTACAATAGTTACAGAATCTGAGTGAACGGTCTGTTTTACTATATCTGCCAGTTTCTAAAGCTATTTCAAAATTTGAACATCTGAATTTAGTAAAAACAATTCTTAAATGGGTAGGGAGTGGACATGACAAGTACCTTTCAACATTTAACATGGATTTAAAATGCTTATAAAGATCACATTTTGGAGAAGAGTTTACAGAAGCACTCCAGAATTGCTGTTAATTATCTTTGAGCCTTTGCTTAAAATGGAGAATAAAAGCTTTAGAGTCACCCACCTCTTGATTGAGCCATACAAAACCAACCCCAAATTGGAATAATATATTTCTAACTTTAGTCGCCCAAGTTACCCGCCCAACATCATCTAAAGATGATCAAACTGTTACATTAACACCATGTTAATAACTGTTAAAGAACATAATCGATAATCCTTAATACTATCAAGGAAGGACTTCCTTTCTATTAACAGAAAGTATTTGAGGCACGTGGAATTAATACAATGTGGATTCTCAAAAACTCAAGAATCAAGAATGTTTGCAACCTCAGAAAAGAACCAAGAATTAGCATGTTATTAACTGTTAATCAACACCATGCCACCAAGATGTGTTGCATGTACATACATGTTGTACATGTATGTACAATATCCTCAAACTGTGTGTCGATGTTTGTTACCATATTTTGGTTATGTTAATAAAATGCATCAACATCTAAGGTTTATCCTTTGTAAAACCTTTTGAAGAAGTCATAAACAGAATCTCTGTTGAAACAACAAGTGTATATGTAGCGTAAATGTTATTGTACAGTATTTTTACAGTTATTAACCGCAAGTAACACATTATTACGTCATCCAGTGATTGGATGTGTGGCAGCTGGCTATCTCTTCCACCTCCATAAGTATTTGACTTTCGTTTCATTGATAGATTCGTTTATTCACAAGGTATCCCTCGTGCTTAGTATCGCAAAGTTGAGCAAACTGTACTTTCTGTATATACATGTAGTCTTTTAGTTCATTCCCATATTCTTTGTTTCTTATGCTACATGTTATTAGTTTCTTTTTGTTCTTAAATAAATTTGTTCCCGTTATCTTTTCATAGTAAGGTTTTCCTGTACATTTACAAACAGTTATATTGAAAAATTCCGAAGAACAACTGTTTATTGTTCAAGCTATTTATATAATTACCTTACAGAATACAACCATTTTTTTCTTTAATGTACTATAGGTACAATACAAAAAAGTAACACTCTCTACAGTACTATCATCTTTGACTTGACTTAACTTCAAGACCTGAAGACATGTCCATTCCTCTTTGGTACTGGATTTCAAAACGCCATAACACCTAATACAAAGAGAGATATATTGCTGGATCCAGCTAATGTACCACCAAATCCCAGTCTCAAAGATTAACCATAATCCTTAATACTATCAAGGAAGGACTTCCTTTCTATTAACAGAACGTATTTGAGGCACGTGGAATTAATACAATGTGGATTCTCAAAAACTCAAGAATCAAGAATGTTTGCAATCTCAGAAAAGAACCAAGAATTAGCATGTTATTAACTGTTAATCAACACCATGCCACCAAGATGTGTTGCATGTACATACATGTTGTACATGTATGTACAATATCCTCAAACTGTGTGTCGATGTTTGTCACCATATTTTGGTTATGTTAATAAAATGCTTCAACATCCAAGGTTTATCCTTTGTAAAACCTTTTGAAGAAGTCATAAACAGAATCTGTGTTGAAACAACAAGTGTATATGTAGCGTAAATGTTATTGTACAGTATTTTTACAGTTATTAACCGCAAGTAACACCAGATATTGATCTTCACGCCCGAAATTAATTTTTCAGACATTTTCACAATTATTTCTTCAGTTCCCTTATTTTATGTCGGAAGTAAAGCTTTTGGTTATTATTTGCAAGCGACATGTGTTATTTCTACTTACAGAATAAACGAGAATGTGTCCCACTCAAAGCAACAGTGCATGCAATGGTAGCCTTCAATATTTGGTCGCAATTAAATATCAAAGTTAATTTATATCTCACTGTTCTTTTCATTTGCCTTGTGTTTTTTTCAGTCTAAAGACAAGAGCACTATGTTAACGCAACAGTGTCCTATTACATTTGTCAGACCCCCGTGGAGATTTCAGGTTAGAATATTGTCCCCAGGAACATATACTTGGTGGCCAAATGGAACAATCGTTATTTGTTGATTGTGTGGGCCTTTGCTAAAAATATCGCAGTGTCCCAGTATTTCAGTGTTAGCCTGATGATGGGGGAAAACCAAAAGATGCAGGGTGAAGCCAATGAAACCGAGTAACGAGTAATAAGCATTTTCAATTATGATTATCTTTTCCAAAGAAACAGTTCTTCTGTGTCAAGGAACTAACGTTACCGGTGCCAAAAAGATATTTGTATTGCATCAATAATATCCTCTGTATTACTATGGAAAGCTACGATATTCAGATTGTTCCTCAGTAAGGTTTTGCTCAATGACGTCAGTTGTGCTTGATGTAGATGGAACAGTGTACCGTAGTTCAAGGATTTGTACCACTGACAAGAGCTCATGACTGTCTATGGATCGTAATAGTCTATTTCCCCTTCAAGAGCAAGATTCTTTATCGTAAGGATTCGACCATTTTATATTCGGGGATAGGGGATGTTTTTTCGAAAAAATACATTGTACCATAAAATTCTCGATAAAAATATTTATGCCTCCGACTGCTAAAAAGTAATTTTCTGCCATAAAAAATACATTTTTTCAATTTAGTTATCAAATGTGGTTTTGCAGCTGAAGCGGGGGAAGATCTAGTCTCCATACAAATCCCATGCAGCATGCTGGTATTACATGTTGAAGACGTCAATTTTGATTCTTTCAATCCCTCTTTGCAAATACATTTTCAGGATAAGTATCATGACATTCAGAATAAGCTCATTTTTAAACCCCTTTGTACTAGATATTCTCAAAATATCGACAGTAAGAATTTCACAATTATGATAAAAATGACGTTATTAGAAATAATCTTTTGAAGAGTATACTCCTATGAACTGTTTGTTTGTTCGAGTCTTCTTTTAGCCGATATTATGTCAGCCACAGAAACTTCTTGTCCTGTAGTACATCTGCCAAATCCCGATTGTATCTGCCGTAAAAAGTGTCCAGTAAGACACGGGTTTTTTCAAGCATGGGTTCTATACTTCTCTTCTTCTTACTGACATTGCGTTTAGGCGCACTGGCGATGTAAGACAACCACTCTTCAGTTTAATCTGAAATACAATGTGCCTTTGTATGAGTTATCCTAAAGTCGGAATATGTGTATGTCAGTAGCTGAGTTGGTCTGGGGAATTATGTTGACATATCCCAAACACGTAATTATGACAATGTTATCTTTCCTTTCATACTTGTATATATTTCATGAAACTGAGCATCGTTCATCTGCGTCACTAATCGAAAGGAAACTTACGCAGCCGGAAAGAAAAAGATAAAAACTCACTTAGTTTCAAATAGTTGTACACTTTTCTCAGCCGAGCTTTTGGGTCTTGATCGTGGTCCTCTGTTCGCAAGATAAGGAATTGCTCTCTTGGAAAAACCTTCAGCCATTCTCGCATGTAAACTGAATAGCACCCTAAGAAAATCCGAGTCTGTGAAAGAAGAATAGACATTGTAATATGCGATAACATTTCGTCAGTTGTGAGAATGTGCTTCAGACTTATGTAATAACAAACTTTTCCTACCCGAAGTGTTCGTGCTATGTCCAGGCTGTACAGACATTGTTCCACCGTGTGGTTCTTCATGCAGGTCTCCTCGGTCTGAATATCTCTTGTCACGGCTTCATGGAAATCCTCCGCTGATCTTCCGGCCCGCATAATATAGTCAGAATATAACCTGAAATTATGTCATCTGGCATACACGCAAACGTAAATAATTTATATATATATGTCATGTTTAGATAGTTAGCCAAATCTGTTTTACTGTCTCAATTCTTAAGTTATAATATAATACTTATTTAAATTTCAAAGGACTGATATTTGTTGAATAAATACAAACATGTCTATGTATATTGATTGCACTTGGTATGTTCATGCAATGCAAAGTTATTTAAGTATGTTTAGGAAATGTACAGGTACCTTCAAAGTAGTAATAATTTGAAAAATAGTCAATATTTGTTTGTAGCCTTCAAATCAAAACAAGATCAAATGTTGAATTTCCACAAAATGAGGTAAGTTTTCAATAGTGAGTGAGTGAGTTTAGATTTATAGTCACATCGGCAATATTTCAGCCATATCGTGACTAAATCAAGTTGTTGAGTAATAATACATATTTATCGATTATAAAATCTGTCGATAAAGGAGAGTAAAAGTACTAGATTATCACAGGTATAGACTTTAAACTAGTATGTAACCATAAAAATTAACTATTTCAAACGATACATCATAAAAATGGGCTCGAGATCACCAGCAACCAAAGTTAGGCCACCATACTAGGGACAATGGGGACGTACGGTACATCTGCTTCCTGCATGGAACCCAAGCAGGATTAACACTATCCCCCAGGCCACTTGGGATTGTTAGAAAGTTTAAGCCCAAACATTTACAACCTACAATCATTCTACGATTAAAACTATGGATAATGAAAAATACTTTGAATGAAAAGGGACTCATAGGGGACACAATTAATTTACGTTACTTCAACCCCCTTTGAAGATTCTGTCAAAATACCATTGGATACGACCCGTGATTATCCGGATAGTTAAGGTCTTCAGCAACCCATGCTTGCCTTAAAAGGCGACTATGCTTGTCGTAAGAGGCGACTAACGGGATCGGGTGGTCAGGCTTGCTGATTTGGTTGATACATGTCAAAGATCCCAATTGTGTGGATCGATGCTCATGATGTCAATCACTGGCTTGTCTGGTGTAGTCTCGATAAGTTACAGACCGTGCGGCGTTAAACAACAAACAAACAAACAACCATTGTATAGCCCTTCTTAGAGGTCATGTATGCCTACAGATTATGCTGTAATAAGCTGTTTGTGTGCTAATTTCATACGTAGTGACCATGTCCTTTAAAGTCTTTAGATCATATGCCTAAGGGTCACCGTTATTCACACACCCTTTTTCAAATAAGTATAAATCCAGCCATTTCTCAAATAAAAGCGAAAAAAAGCAATTTTTTTAAAGATCTGAAATTTCTGCTTAAACAATCCTTTCTGTGATTCCGACCATATCATAAGCATGTGTTTATGAATCACTATCATATAGCGATATACCTTAACATTATTTACAATCTTTACAGAGGCCTTGAATTGTGTAAACCTGATAAGAACGGTTTTAACAAAATGATATGACGCACTGAAATTTTGGTATAAAGAGCATGCTCGATTGAATCTGAAAAGTTGTGAAATGTGGGCTGGAGCTGTTAGAATACTGCTCGAAATAAAGGAAAAGTTGACAATTGGAAGGTCGAAGTCATCTCTTGCATACAGTCTCACGAAGAGGTTTTTTGTCACTTTGAATCTAAGCATAGATCTAACTATGAAACATACGAGGCGTTCTCACTTTTCTCTTTTGTTTCTTGTTCATGTTGGTAAGTCAGTGGAAGGGAACTGGCTGTTTGAAGGTTATTGAACGACGTGCATATCAGATCATCACTATAACTGACTAAAGTTAAACGTCTTGGCCAGAATACCTTGTTTTGAAATTCAGATTCATGTGCATAAAGAAACAGATCAGCAGGAAGGGGAGCACAATTGATGCCTATTTCTGGTCAAGATGCCTAACCCCCAAATTTTACCAGATTTTATCAATGAGGAAGTCTCAACATTTCATATATATTTTTTCTCAGTAAACTTTCATTTTTGACAAATTGTCCTGAACCTTTGGAGATAGAGATTTCACTAGATCTATGGTCACCACGTATTGGAGCCTCATGGATCAAGAAATTATGCGTTTCCTTAAGTTTCTCGTTTGGTGTGCATAAAGTTGAAACATCAAATATTTTGACAAAATTGAATTGTCTAAAACACATTCTGTGATTATACAGAAAACCCCTCATACATTGTATTTAAGAATATGGTTAATCTTCGAGACAGGTGTGAGTGAGTGAGTTTGGTTTTACGCCGCTTTTAGCAATATTCCAGCAATATCACGGCGGGGGACACCAGAAATGGGCTTCACACATTGTACCCATGTCGGGATTCGAACCCGGGTCCTCGGCGTGACGAGCGAAAGCTTTAACCACTAGGCTACCCGACCGCCCCTCGAGACGGGTGGTACAGTTGATGGACCCATCAATACATATATCTATGTGCTAATATTTTTAGCTTTGGAATCAAGTACAAAAGTGGACTTTTCTTTGGAATTCAGCATCGGGCCAAAAGTACTAATTGTACTGATGCGTTGTTTTTGCAGATATTTCTTTCTCAGTAAACATACTGGTCTTATTTGACATGTCATTTATACCAAGTTCTCTGATCAAACAATTAATGCTGTGATGCTTAACTATAATGGTTATATTACTTGAAGCCTTGTCAAAGCTAAAATCTAACGTCCTTATAAAGAAAGGTGTTATGAACAGTTTCTTAACATGTGAAAACGACACAGTGGAGATTGAGATAGCAATTATAGCTATCAAACCCTTACAAAAAAATGTAATATTATTATTCATTTTATTTGACCAATAACATACATATCTGCAGCGTAATGTATACACAACAAGAAAAAAAGACATGCATATGTTCACATTTCAATATTCCTTTTCCTAAAAGACACAATCTCTGCTTGCAGGGATCAGTACACTAGTAGGTCAGTCCCTGTAACTAAGCTGTTTTGAAGGCACGGCATGCATATTTGATCTGGGGATAAGTTAGTCCCTACATGAGGCTTACTTCTTTTAGAGGCATTTAGAAGTTGGAGTATTAGTAAGGATAAGATACAAGGATGAACAACGTCTTTGTTACAGTTAGGAGCTACGTTTCGGTGTAGGTTCTAACACCGTTATCAAGCAACTGGTGTACAGAGTATGGTTGACAAATATATATACAGTTATGAGGGAAGTGGTTAAAAGCGTTCGCTCGTCACGCCGAAGACCCGGGTTCGATTCCCCACATGGGTACAGTGTGTGAAGCCCATTTCTGGTGTCCTCCGCCGTGATATTGCTGGAATATTGCTAAAAGCGGCGTAAAACCATACTCACTCACTCACTCACTCACTCCAGGTAGGAGGCAGCGTTTAGAGAGTAGAGATATTACTGACTTCAGCATTAAACGTCATACTCTAACTCATTTACCTTACAGTATGCGAGTGTTAAAAAAATAACCATATGTCTCCAAACACAAAACATGTACCTACCTATTAGTTGGATTTCTGAAGAGGACAATGAACTTCGGATCTGTATACACTCGTCTCATGAGATGGGGTGTCATAACCACTGGTTTCTCTAAACCTGCATTTTGTGGTATTTTGGGCCATCCTCGGAAATCACTAAAATCTGAAGGACTTGCATCACCTAGACGAATAGGGAGAGTGATGGAGTGAGTGATGGAGTGAGGGAGTTTGTTTTAACGCCGCTGAGCACAATATTTCAGTTATATTACGGCGTGTTAGCTTCATGTTGGAGGACGCCTGAAGCTTAAATGATGCAAGTCTTAGACATTTGCCAGTTTGTTGAAACCCATGTATATAATGCAGACAAACCTAGAAATATAACCGTACTGCGAACAGGGAATGTTTAAATATGTCAAAATATTCATGCGTGAGTGAGTTAAAATTTACCGTCGCATCGGCATTATTTCAGCCATATAACGACTCAAATTATTCATAAAATATATTCATCAGGTATATTTACCTGTAATCATGTTGTGGTAGCCTGTGTCTGTAGTTGTATGTTTTATCCGGAGCGCAGCAGTATCGAACTTTTGTTGAAAGCAGCTGAAGTTGCATGGTGTCTGTGCTCGCATGCTATGGTCATAACCTGTGTAAATGTCAGATGATTTATACTCTACTGTTCATGGGCTGCAACGAAATCTTTCGTCATGAACAAACATGTTCTACCTTTTTTTTTTATATTGGGTCAATAACTTTGACGGTACTGTTCCCACTTTTTCCTGTATATACCTTTTCTAATAAATTATAGCAAATCAAATTAACAAAGATAACACGATAGGTGTTAGGGTACAGACAAATACATTATTCACGGGCTCCAACTCCCTCAACACCATGCTTACTACTTACTTACTTACTTTGGAGATTTAACGTGCGCTTTCCGACTGATGCGTATTTCGCACACGGGCCCGGCCAGGCCATTTAATGTGTTTCCGAAAGGGGCGAAAGTGGTCTGTGCAACCCAAGAGGGGGGTTTTAGGGGTTGCTTATATAGAATTTGGGAATTTTGAGATTTGGAATAGATGCCGATGAAATTGGGGAGGAAAACTAAGGGAGCTGGGTATGGTGGATGTTTGTTTGTTTATGTGATTTTGATTTGGTAGGTTATTGTGTTTTTAGATGCGTTTTATTAGTTCCGTTTTGATTAAGAATACGCCTAAGGCCTTGAAGTTTTCTAGTTTATTTTGTGGGTTTAGTATTGCTTCTAGAGTTAGAGCCTTGTTTAGATTGAGGGTGGTTTGTAATGCGGTTCGATGTGTTAGGTAGTGTGTGCAGTGGATGAGTGCGTGTTCTGGGGTTTCTGGTTGTTTGCAGTGTGGGCAGTTACCTGTAGTGTGGTTTTTTTAAAAATTTAAGTGGTTATTTAGGTTGGTGTGTCCTGTTTGGAGTTTAGTGATTACTCTGTCGATTGTTTTGGATGGATGGATAATTTTTGGTTTGGTTAGTGGTTTGCTGAGCACTTTTTTGATTTGGCTATTTGAGTTTAGATATAGGTTATGCCATTTTTTTGTGATTTTTTGCTTGTTTACACTTTTAATTTCTGGGATTTTGAGGGATAGTTTAGCTGCTTTATCGGCGTTTTCATTACCGTATATTCCTACGTGGGCAGGTATCCACAAGAAGGTTATTTGTTTGCCTGCCTTAGTTAGGTCGTTGGAGCTTTTAAGTATTTGATTTATTAATTTAGGTCGGTTTTTTGGTATTTTTGTTTTGGAGGGCTTGCAGTCCACTTAGGGAGTCGGTAAGTATTAGGATTTTTTTTGTGTTTTTTGGATTCTTGATTATGGAGGGCTGAGGCCATGCCCATTAGTTCTGCCGTGAATATTGATTGGTTGTTTGGGAGTCGGAAGGATTGTGTGGTTTTAGTTGGTTGTGTGGTATGGACTCCGGAACCTGTGTGTTTGGAGGTCGGATCTGAGGATCCGTCCGTGTAAATGTGACACCAATTTGGCCAATTTTCGTGTATGTATGCTAGTGTGGTAGTTTTAGCTATGTTTGGGTCGGTTTGTTTATTTATTTGGCTAGCTAGTGTTGTGTCTATTTTGGGTATTTTAAGTTTAGGAGTGAAGATATTTGATTGTTTGCAGTTTTGTTTAAGATTTTTAATTTGGTGTTCATTTAGGTAGTTTGTTATTCTTTGGGATATTGGGGTAAGTAAGGGGTGTTTACGAGCTAGAGCTTGGTTTTGGGGGCTGATGTTTTGGTTTATTAAGTTTTGGATGAGAGGGTTTGATTGGGACGCGGCCCAGAAATTTAAGCTTAGCTGTTCCCTGCGTAGACTTAGTGGCATTTCTCCTGTTAAGGCCTGAAGTGAGGTGTAGGAGGTGCCATGTTGGGTGCGTGTAATTAGTTTGAGAGCCTGATATTGTATTGAGTCAAGTTTTTTAGATAGAGAGTTGTTTAGGGTGTTGTATATGGCGCAGCCGTAGTCTAGTTTTGATCTAATTAGTGATATGTAGAGAGAGAGGAGGGTATCTTTGGATGCTCCCCAGTTAGAGCCAGTTAGGCATCTTAGGGTGTTTAGGTCTTTACTGCATTTAGTTGTTAGGTTTTGGATGTGAGCATCCCAGGTGAGATGTTCATCGATTTTGAAATTTGATTGTTTGATTGTTTAGCTGGAGGATTGGGGAGGCGGGTTTCATGTTTTTATGTTTGAATACTATTCCTGTTGTTTTTTCTGAGTTAAGGGAGAAGCCCCATTTGTCAGCCCATTGTTGTATTTTATTAAGAGATTTTTGGAGTAAATTTTGGACCATGTTCATGCTTTTAGTGCGGATCCAGATGGCTCCATCATCCGCGAGGTTTGATGTGTTTACTTTAGGGGATAGGCCCTCGAATAGATCGTTTATCATTATATTGAAGAGGGTGGGGCTGAGGATACTGCCCTGTGGAGTGCCATTTTCTAGGGGACATTGGTCCGATAGAGTTTGGTCTGTACCCACGGTTATTTTACGATTGTTTAGGAAGTTCTGGATGTAGTTTATTATCTGACCTTTGAGTCCTATTTTTTTAAGTTTTTGAATTAGCCCATCGTGCCATACCATGTCGAAAGCTTTAGAGAAGTCTAAGAAGATGCCTGTGGTATATTGTTTATTTAGTTGTCCTGTCTTAATATCTTGTTCTAGTCGGGCGAGGTTATCTAGGGTTGAGCGGCCAGGAGTGAAACCGCTTTGATCTGGGTTTATGATGTTATTTTGGGTTAAGTAATGTTGTAATCTATTTTAAGCCATTGATTCCATTACTTTACATAAGTTTGAAGTTAGGGATATTGGTCTATATGAGTTAGCTTGATTAGCTGGTTTATTAGGTTTAGGGATTGGTATGACTAGGGCCTGTTTCCAGGGAGTAGGAACCTGTCCGTTTAGGTAGATGAGATTGTATAGTTTGAGTAGTGCTTGGAGTAGTTTTAGGGGGAGTTTTTTAATTATTTGGTAAGAAGTTAGGTCTAATCCTGGGGCTGTGCCCTTTTTCCTGTTTTGGATTACGTAGAGGAGCTCCTTCATTGTGTAGGGTTGATTTATTTCTAGATTGATATTGTTTGGTTCTTTTGTGGGTTTGTTTTCTGTTTTAAGTTTATCTTGGAATTTTTTACTGAAGTTGGTGTTACTGCTAACGGCCGAAAAGTGGTTGGCGAGATTATTTGCATTTTGGGCGGGGTTGGTTGAGTTGTCAATGTTAAGGTTTTTTATGTCGTTTTAAGCCTCTGATGGCGTGTATTTTGCGCCAGACCATTCTGGCATCTGTACGGTTTTTTATACCTTCGCAGAATTTTTTCCAGTCTCTACTTTTGGCTATTTGGACTAGTTTTTGAACCTGGTGGTTTAGTTCGTGGGCTATGTTTAAATATTTGTAGTCGCGTTTTGCTTTATTGAAGGCTGATTTACGTTTTCGTCTAGTCTGTTCTATTTCCTCATTCCACCATGGTACCGTCGGTTTGCCTGTCTTAGATGTTTTGAAGGGGATGGAGGTTTTGGCTGCGTTTATTATATAGTCTGTTAGGTTTTTACAATAGGTTTCTGGATCATTATTTTCTATTTCGTTTAAGTTAGCTTCGTTGCAGATATCTTGGAATTGGTCCCAGTTACTTTGTTGTAATGGAATTTTGGTTCTTGGTTTTCTGTTTGGATTGGTACGTTTGTATTTCCTATGGTTATGTTTATGGGGAAGTGGTCACTACCTAGCGGGACGTCGTGCACTTCCCATTGAGTACTTTGGGCTAGATCTGCGGTGCATATGGTTAGGTCGATAGCCGACATTTTTGGGTTTATCTTATCGTACCTCGTGGGTTGGTTGCTATTAAGGAGTACTAGGTCGTTTGTTTCTATCCATTCGGAGATTAATTTGCCATCATTATCTATTTTATCATCTATGCTCCATGTAGGATGGTGAGCATATAGGAATATAGTAGATTTATCGCTTATTTGGAGTAGTTTGTTTAGATCCTCAGGTTGGACTTTTTGTTCCGCCCAGTGGTAAATATTTATGATGTTTATGTTTCGGTTATTTAATGTGATTTTAATGCCGTTGGCTTCTAGGTTTGGCGTGTCTATTTTTATTTCTTCGTAATTTATATCTTCCCTGATAAATATGATTAGTCCTCTTGCGGCTCTTCTTGTTTTCGGTTTAGCTCTGTCAGTTCTAACTGAGTTGTTGTTAGGTAGTGTGAATTTGGATTTTTTTAAGAATTTGGTTTCCTGTATACAAGCAATGTGAGGGCCTTTATTTAGTTTAAATTTAGTTTTTAGTTCATGGCCGTGGGAGGTGAGTCCGTTGGCGTTCCACTGAAAAATGTTTAGTCCTTCGAATATTGGGTTCGGGTGATTGGTGATTTAGTTTTTAGTTTTTAGTATATTCGGTGAGTTCTTTTAGAGTGAGGTTAAAGAGGAAGAAGGGAAGATCGGTTAATTTTAGATTGAAAGCTACTTTTATGGAAGGATTTCATGCTAGCTTTTGCTGAGTTTTGACTATGCATGTATGCTAGGAGTAAGGTGAGGTTATTTAGGTTTTGGGTGTTGGCTGGTTGGGGAGATTGGTTTGTTTTAGTTTGAGTAGTGTCTATTGTTTCCTCAGTAGTGGAGAAATCTTCGTCATCGGTTAGATTAGGTTTAGCTGATTGAGTTTCCATGGGGGAGGCATGTGATGTGGAGGATTGTGAAGGTGTTTGCGGGATGGGTGTAGCTGATGATTCCTTAGTGTTTGTGTTTTGTTGTTGTGCTTGCTTGTGGGAGAGTGTTGTTGCCATATGGGCTGTAGGGTGCTTGGATGAGGGTCGTGTTGTGGTGGTCATTTTGAGGTTTGTTTTGCATGCGGGGGTTGATGTTTTGGCTATGTGAGATGTGGGAGGGTTCGTGGTTGGTTGTGTGGCTGCTTGTGTGTGTGAGGTGGGTGCGGTTTCTCGGTAGGGGGCCCAGACAGAGCTGTCGGTTATGGGTGTGGTGTTTGTTTGTGGGATGGTGTTTGGGTGTGGTGTAGGGAGGAGTGGTTAAGATGCAGGTGTAGCAAATTTTCGTGTTTTAGCCGTGTCTATGTTTATGTGTTTGTTGGCCTGCTGGGTGAGTGTGTGTCTGTATGGGCATTGGTTTGAAAGTGAAGTGTGTTGGGTGGATTTGCAGTGGATGCACCAGGGTGTGCATGTGCCTGGGCAGTCTGTTTGTGCGCATT